ATGGTAGAATAATATAGAAACATGTGCCGATTGAGGTTTGAGATAATAAGTTTGGTAACAGAGAAACACAGTGACTATTATTGAAATAAATTAAAGTTTAGTGATACGACAAATTAAAGTCGAGTGAAGATTTCATTGAAATTTCATCGAGCAAAAATGAAACTAACACTACTTTTGAAATTTTTAAAAATAAAATAAAATTATAGTGACGTCGCCTAGGAGGAACTAGACAAAACTTGTATGAAACAAGCATCTGTTGTGTTAAATTCAAATTATATAATTGACAATTTCTTTAGTCAAAATTAAGTCCTAATTGAATATTATTAGGATTTAATTATTTTGTAATCAAAGTCAAATTAGGATTAGAAAAGTTCAAGTTATGGTAAGATTAGTATATGATTGATAGAGTCCAAAAAGAAGTCAAATGAATCCAAGAAGAAGATCAAGATTCGGACTTGAAAATGTTAAAATTTAAAATTGAGTACGACGCAATTTCACTAGCCTATGGTCCAGTCGGTGCTCGAGCGACAAAAGCAGAATCACTGTCGCCCGCCTAGCGCTAGACGGCGCTTGAGCGACATGTGTGCTGACCTAGCCTTGGAGCGACGGGTGGACGTTCAGAATCCTGATTGTTTTAAAATACGTGATTTTCATCCATATTTCAACCCAAACACTTTCTCTATATATATCGTATCCTATGAAAGTTCCTAAGTGTGTTGAATCATATTTTCCATAGAGATCATTTCTTGAAAGATCCAAAACACATTCATTCTTTCAAAGATTCAACCACAATATTATTTGAGCCATAAATTCATTCAAACTTTGATTTGTTGATCTAGCCACATTGTTTCACATTAAATCACAAATCAAAACACACAAGATCTACTGATAAAACACCAAACCATGTAATCTACCAGAGATAAATCGACACCAGGGATCGGGAGTTGTTGCAGAAGCACAAATTCAAAAGGACTAAGGTGAAGTACTAGGGTAAGTGTTCGAATGGTTGGACCGCCCCATTTACCATAGTTGCAAGTATAGTTACCCTTACTAATTTTCACTTGGTTTAAGAAAGATTTAGATGGGTGTAATTGAAACAATAAAGGGCTTCATGCTCTATTTATGGCTGTATCATTTGAAGAGTTTAGGTTTGTGTCGACGTGTGAGACTGCGAAAGAAGTTTGAGCTATTCTTGAGATCACACATGAGGGAACCAAGGCTGTTATAAACTTTAAATTACAGATGTTGACTGCTAAATTTGAGTAAATTAAGATGAGAGATAATGAGTCTTTTGATAATATCTATGCTAAAATAAATGATAAGTCAACTCTAGCTTCAAGGTGAGCGAATTCCAGAGGTTAAGATTGTAAGAAAAGTGATGAGATCTCTACTTGAGAAATTTAGATCTAAAGTGACTGTTATTGAAGAGAGTAAGGACCTAGATATAATTAAAATTGAAGAACTCGTAGGATCTCTCGAAACATATGAACTTAGCTTACCTCAGTCTAAGAAAGACAAACCCATAGCCCCCAGTACAGTTAGGAAAGTTGTGATGGTGAAAAACTTAAAGATGAGGACCTTGCCTATCTTGCTAGGAAATTTAATAAATTCCTTAATAAGAAGAACATATCTTCTAAGAGATATACTGGTGAATCTAGTATACCTAGGAAAGATAAAAGTGAAAAGAGTAATACTTGAGATTCTTGGAAAACGTCTACGAGATGTTATGAGTGCCAGGGATTTGGTCATGTGAAATCTGAGTGTCATAACCTGAAGAGAGACATAGGCAAAGCTATGAATATTAGTCTTATTGATAACGAGTCTAGCTCGGATAATCAAAGTGAGAAGTCCTTTCATGATGATACTGGGAAATATATGGCATTTACATTTGTAGTTAAGAATGAGTCACTTGAGGATATAGAGAAATCTGATTCTTCATAGGAAGGGTTAGAAGATGAGCGTGACATATATGAGACTTTTGATGAGCTATTTTAGGATTGTTTTAAGTTGAAAAAGGTCAATAGTGTTTTATCTTAAGAAGTTGCATAGATGGAGCTAGAGAAAGAGAGACTCATATCTGACCTTTAGTAGTTTACTTAAAACCTTAGTAAGTTAAAATTAATCAATGAGAATTTAGAGACTAAGGTTAAAACTCTAACTAGCGACCTTGAGTAATCTAATGCCCAACTTCTTTCCTTCATGAGTGGATCTCAGAAACTTGACAATCTTTATGATTGAATAAGCGTGTTGCAAATAAGAGAGGCCTAGGATATAAGCAAACTGATCATAACACTGCTAGTACTTCCAAGACCGCTTTTGTCCCTACCACCAACTTGCCTAAGTATGGTGCAAATCTTGAACCTAAGAATAAGGGTATCTTAGGACATAGGCCTACTAGACGTCGTATGACCAAACAATATAGAAATCAACACCAGCAACCATGTAGATTTGGACTTAGGTTTATCCCTACGTGTCACAATTGTGGTGAGTTTGGACACACAATGCCTAGGTCTCACAAATTTTTGAAAAGAAATAGAAGTCAGAATATATCTAGCCGGGTTGAATTCCTTATTAATCAGGTTAGCCACTTGACAGAGCTGATGACACAATTGACTAGAATTAACTCCGCTTCTCAAAAAGTTTGGATAAAGAAGAGTGATCCGACAGATTATGAATCCGATCATTCATGATAAGTGCATTTATGTGTCCCATTAAGTAGGTAGTTTGACGCATGCATCTGCATTATTTATGGTATCTACATATTCATGCATGCACTTTAAACTTTTTATTTGTTTGTTTTGCATTTTATTTATTATTTTGAAAAAAAAAAATTTTTAATTGAAAAAGGAAAATATTTTTTTGACATGTTATTTTGCTATCTACTAGTTAGGTTCATAATTAGAAAATTAAATTTTCATTAATTTGTTTAGAACTTGCTTGGAGTACTTGATATAGATTATCACATATATCTTATGCACTGCACACATTGAGTTTGACCGCGTGTTGGAGATTTGTGATGACCGTTATTTGTGTATTGAATTGATTTTAAATATGGAATAACTTTTAATCTAGTTGACCTAAATTCTTATATATTCCCCTTAAGAGAAATATTACTATAGCTTTAAAGAAATTTTTTGAATTACATAAAATGTTGTGAGACAATTTTATACTTTTCTTCATAGCTTATATGACTTGAATAATTATGTCTACATTGTGTCTTAATACCTGATGCCCTATAAGTCATCTGACTTTGGAATCATCGGCTCAAAACTCATTACAAGGGTCATGTAGAAAGTTTAGTGAAGAGTTTGCACATAAGATTTGAAAATAAAAAGAATATAGTGCTCGCTCGCTAGTAGATGGGGGAGAAAGAAAATAATTATACAATTAATTATGAGCTCTTTAATTTATAAATGTCTCGGTAACACCTGTGTTTGACTTCATACTTTGAAGAATATATTCATCCACCAGTAATTCTTTGCACATCATTTCTCATTGATTTAAGGTTTTGAGACTTTTTTACATGAGTTTAGAGATATTTTTTACACATGAATGACTTTACAATTTACTTCATTTGAATTTAAAATAAGTTATATGGAAAAAGTTTACTTGTTCATGAACTATGCATATATAAGTAAGCAAATAACTGCTCATGAGTCATGATGATGAAATTGAAAATCTATGGAAAAAAAAAAAATTGTCCTCAAAACTGAAATTTTTTAATTCTCCCATCACATGTTTCTGCATAATTTTTATATAATTATACACGTGCATATTTTTTTTGCTCATTCATTTCTGTGTTTAACATGATTATTACTTGCCTTTCATTTGTTATTCGCGACAAAATGGGGGATAGATGCGTATTTATTTCAGTGAGTTGAATATATAAGTTATGGGGAGAATTTTAAAAATTTTGATTGATAAATGACTTAGAATGAGTCATTTGATATATTTGCTGAAATTTTATTATTGATGTAGTGTTGTGTTTTGTTTATATTGATATAAAATTCTATGATTTATTTCTAAATTTATAATTAACATGATATTGCATGTTTCGGTACGTGTTTTATTTAACTTAGATATATGATTTTTTTTTATAGTTTCCTCTTACTTTTCACGTAGTATTTTGGTTTCCACGTGTTTCATGAAACATGTTGACAAATTATTGAAGAAAATTTTAGGAAGTTTATTTTTGGGTAGTTTTGAACTTTTTAACTTTGAAATAAATGATTTTGCCACGGAATGCCAAAATGGGAGATTGTAAAGTCCAAATTATATAATTGGCAATTTCTAAATTTGTAGTTGAAAATTTTCTTAGTCAAAATCAAGTTCAATTGAATTGTATTAGAATTTAATGATTTCGTAATCAAAGTCAAATTATGATTAGAAAAGTCCAAGTTATGGTAAAATTAGTATATGGCTAATAGAGTTTAAAAAGAAGTCAAAGAAATCCAAAAAGAAGTCGAAGAAATCCAAGAAAAAGAAGTCAAAGAAATCGAGTACGATGCAATTTCGCTAGCATGTCGCCTTGCGGCGCTCGAGCGACATGCGTTTCGCTCACCTGTCGCCTATATATATCCTATTTTATGAACGTTCCAAAGTGTGTTGAATTATATTTTAAATAAAGATCATTCATATGAAGATCCAAAATACATTCATTGATTCAAAGATTCAACAACCAAATTATTTGAACCATAAATTCATCTAAACTTTGAACCTTAGATCTTTGTCTAGTAACCCGAATTATTTTCGAAAGGGAAATGGAGCTTGAATCAATATAATCTCCACTCATCCACCATTCGGGTTTTAATTGTATAGCTTCTTTAGTACGGAGGATAGTATTATGTAAGAAAAATAAGTTAAAACTCTTGTTTATTATCTTGTCATCGTCGTGTCCAATGTCGTGTACCAGAAACGGAATGCTAAAATTTGGATGATAAATTGGTGAAATTTTGGTTCTGCATTTGCATAATGATCAATTGAATTTGCCTGAACAGATTATGGAAGAAGAAGGAAGATTTGAAGCTGAAGTAGCAGAGGTACAAGCATGTTGGAACTCAGAAAGATTCAAGCTCACCCGCAGGCCATATTCAGTAAGAGACGTAGTCGCACTGCGCGGTAATCTCAAACAGAATTATGGATCGAATGAATTGGCCAAGAAACTCTGGAGGACTCTCAAAACACACCAAGCCAATGGCACAGCATCAAGAACCTTTGGTTCACTTGATCCTGTGCAAGTTACAATGATGGCCAAGCATTTGGATACAATCTATGTCTCCGGTTGGCAATGCTCATCCACTCACACGACCAGCAACGAACCAGGCCCTGATCTTGCCTATTATCCATATGATACTGTCCCCAACAAAGTCGAGCATCTTTTCTTCGCGCAGCAGTATCATGATCGGAAGCAAAGAGAGGCAAGGATGAACATGAGCAGGGAAGAGAGGGCGAGGACTCCGTATGTTGACTACTTGAAGCCGATTATTGCAGATGGTGATACCGGATGTGGTGGCGCTACTGCTACTGTTAAGCTCTGCAAGTTGTTCGTTGAGCGTGGTGCAGCCGGGGTCCACATTGAGGATCAGTCCTTAGGGACGAAAAAATGTGGGCACATGGCTGGGAAGGTGCTCGTGGCGGTCAGTGAACACATCAATAGGCTAGTGGCTGCCAGGTTGCAGTTTGATATTATGGGCGTTGAAACTGTTTTGGTGGCTCGTACCGATGCTGTTGCAGCGACGTTGATCCAAACCAATGTCGATACACAGGATCATCAGTTCATTTTGGGTGTAACGAACCCAAATCTTAAAGGGAAGCCTTTAGCTACTCTGCTAACAGAGGCAATAGCAGCTGGTAAAACAGGGTCGGAACTTCAAACGATCGAGGATAACTGGCTGGCAATGGCAAGGTTGAAGACTTTTTCAGAATGTGTTGTTGATGCTATCAGGAATTTGAACATCGGAGACGCTGAGAAGCAGAGGAGGTTGAATGAGTGGATGAACCATTCAAGCTACGACAAATGTCTCTCGAACGAACAAGGGCGAGAGATTGCTGAGAGATTAGGCCTAACCAATCCCTT